TACAACAATTACAATTTATTATTATTACAACAATTACAATTTATTATTATTACAACAATTACAATTTATTATTATTAGAACGTAATAACGTCATTCGTAATCTTGAACGTACTCGTATGCGTCAAGATAAAGTCTCTGATGCTCTCAACGATTCTCTAACTCGTCTTACCGATGAATTCAACAAGCATCTTAAAAATAACCATATTTTACGTGAAGATAATAATAAACTTAATAATGCTTTACAAAAGCTTAAACTCGCCTTGATCCCTTTAGCTCAAGAAAGGCCTGTTTTGCAAGTGTTACGTAAGATAACTCAGAACGATGATTTACAAAGTCAAGATATAACTATGGATAACGTTTTAAATTTGTTTATGGGTCTTTTACCTATCTCTAATTTGTTCGGTACCTCTTTACAAAATTCTCTCGGTACTTCGAGTTCTTCTCCTTCCACTCTCTATTCCTCTTCTTCCCCATTGGATTCTTGTCAAAAATGCTCAAAATTTGGCGAAAATTTAATCCGTTGTAATTACTGTCAAAATGTTCAACATGTAGAATGTTGTAGTAATGATGAAAAATCTTCATTTGATACCGTGAACGATCGTTGGACTTGTGTAGATTGTAAAGATTCTGCTACCGTTAAACGAAAGTATTACTCTGATAAAAGATCTAGTTCCAATGTTCCTTCTTTAACCTTAATTGGAAATTATAAACGTATCAAGACACATGATAAAAACTCTTTAAAAGACAATTCTTCTCTATATAATATTACCACTCATAATCTTGATAATGGTGGTGTTTTGTCTCCTCAACTTACTCCACAACAATTAAAATCAACAAATGGTGCTACTCAAAATAATATTGATGATATGACGGATCGTTATGCAATGCCACATACTCCAATGTCTGACGATGATAAAATTACAAGTGATGATAACGATAGTAGCTTTAGTAGTGATTTAGAAATCGAAGATGAAAATCATAAAGATGATTTAACACCTGGAACTTTTGATCGAACTCCTCCACCTGATAATGGTCCAGAGGCTTCCAGACAACCTGCTCGTTTCGATGGTGACATGTAAGTTTCTCTTTTAATATTATAAATTACTATAAATTATTATATAATCTATATAAACGTATACAATATAATATATTATTTGTTAATCGATATAATCGATATAATCGATATAATCGATATAATCGATATTATTGATATAATCGATATTATCGCATATAATCTTATATAACCGCATATAATCGATGTCATCGATATAATTGCATATAATTGCATATAATTAATTAATGCCATCGATATAATTATAATTAATTTATATATAATTGTATGTATTCGTATCTATTTAGGTACACTCCACGTTGGGTTCGTGGAGTTGGAAAATCAAAAGAAGGTCTTTGCCCTCATTGTGAACCCGCTCGATGGCTCAAAACAAAGATCTCTGCTTATTGGTACATTTAATTTACTGATTTTTATTAATCATTTATGTATCTATTCATTTATTTTAATCACTTATACATTTTAGGTATCATTTGAATTATCAGCATGGGATCTCTTCAATCACTGGCCGACCATTTGCTCAACCAATTGCTGAACGACTCAATAAAAAATCTGGTATGAAAGAGGCTTTATGCCATAAATGTAATAAATGGATTTTGAATCAATCACCAAGAGATAAAGATGTATTGGTTCCCGAAATTTATTGGTATGATTTCCAAAACTTTTCCCGAATTTTTTCAGTATATGGTAATTGATTTTAATTATTTGTTATTAGGTACAAACATGCCCAAAAATGTCATCATACACCTTGAATATGCACCCGGAATATTGATTTTGGTCAGAGTAATCTATGACCCCATGATGGTCTAATAGTAAAAGTGAATGAAATTTTTCACTACAAATAGTCTTTTTTTTTTTTTTTTTTCTTTCCATAACCCATTGTTAAAGTTACTTTGGTTTTCTTTCCGGGTTTCACATTCCCATCCTATTTCCGTATTGCCGCAGTATTGTTTGTTTGTCTTGAAACTACTATGTACTATGTACTATGTACTATTTGCCAACTATATAGCATGTAATTTGTCTCTTTTTCTCAATTAAATCCATCTTGACAGCGTAAATTGAACAATGAATCAAAAAAATAAAGTTAGTTCTACGTATAGGAATCTGGTAAAAAGTTTACTCCGTAAATACACATGCCTTTCCATATTCAGTCAAAACTTGTAAATTTTTGGTATCTCCGTTCACGGATAAAATAAGGCAATTCCTGTATGAAAAGAAATTTTCTAATTTTTCTTGGCATTCATGTCTTGGGGCGTTTTGTGGTACGGACAATGGTAGTTTTTAATGCCATTCTACAATCAGAAAATTTTTTGATGATTATTTAGGGGATTTGCAGTAGAAAAGGCCCAGAACTATATATAATATATAGAGCATTTAGGCCTTTTCTACTGCCAAGACCCTATTTGTTCACAGGTGCAAACTATATAAATGGTTAAAATAGTATTCGCTTTAGAATTCGCAAACATTAAAACTATCCTCCAATTTTTCTTTGCCAAAATTTTATCCTAAAAAAATGGTACAACAAAAAATTAACTTAAATCCTTCTCCGGAGTCATATATACCATCTCCGGGTTACTTATTGGGAATTAGGCTTTTTGAAGCTTTATCCAGTCTAGCAATCGTAATTACACTTGCTATCACCACAGCTTATCATAAGATACTATTTGATTATGGAATTAATTACGATTCATCTAGATTCAGACAAGGTTCTTTAAGGGCAACAAATGGTACCGACGTTGTATTAAACGCGCAGGATGGCGCTGCGGATTATGATAATTATGATGGGGTCATGCCATGGTTAATTTTTGGATTGGTACTTTCAGTGACAGGTTTTGTAATTTCTACAGGTTTCATATTTGACCGTGGGCTTAAACTTGCATTAGTACAAGCATTGACTTCAATTATTTTATGTGCGGGTTTTGTGGTTTACATTGTAATTGGAGCTTTAAACACTCCATATTGGATAGACTGTACTAGAATAAGCTATCCATCTGATTTTGATGCGTCCAAAGATATTACTACTGCAATGACCAACAGATGCGCCGCTCCAAAAGCTGCTGAATTTTTTGCCTTTGTTGCGGCTTTTGCTTATTGTTTTAGTGCTTCTGCTGCGGCAAAAGTTTTTCTTGACAGTAAATTTGTTCCAGATGTTAAAACTAGGGATATTGAGGAATCATAGATTTTTTATTTATTTATTTTTACATGTAAAATTCTTTTTTAAGACTGGGAAATGAAATTATAATGTATAACTCGGCAATTGTATACAGTATTTTTAAGAGAAACTAATAAACCCTAATAATTTTAAACCTAATTTTCAACACGTGATTAATACGCCGATTTTTTTTTGATATAATGATTTTCAATAATCAAACTTTTTTTTTTCCTCCCCCTTCTCTTTTGGTAAATAGACAAGAAAACTTGTTTTACCATGGTATGCTTTTGTCTTGAGCTTTTAAGAGCACGTTAAAAAAAAACCTACAAAGCTGTCTGTTCAAGAAATAATGAAATAAATTGCCTTGTTTACATTTGAAAAAAATTATTAATTGATTGTTCACCTACTTTTACTGATCAAAATTTTTGAAAAAAGCCCTCTCATAAAACATTCAGGATCAAACGTGTCCTTGGAAAGAAACAAAAACAGAATCGTCCTATTCCTCAATGGATCCGTCTTCGTACTGGAAATACGATTAGGTTCGTTTTTAAAACAAATGGATTATGCGTTCTACTAAGGATTGATTAGTAGTTCTAAATCATCATTGATTAAATACCTAGATACAATGCTAAACGTCGTCATTGGCGTCGTACCAAACTCAACATTTAAACTTCCACAACTGTAGCTATAAATTTCTTGTGATAATCAATTTAGAGTAGCGTTGAGACTCAACTTTTCTTTTAAATTATGACATTACTACATGAGTATGGAAAGTTTGGAAATCGTAATTTCTACTTCACTTGAAATAAACAAAATCTAAATAATACCCATTCTCAGACAATAGTATTCAAGAACCAATCAAGTTTATTAAATTAGACTCTATAAATTATTAAGCCTTTTATTTGCAAAGAGCTTGAGAGGGAATTTAGCGACCAAGTAGATACAGTCGCACTCCCATATAATCAAAAAGTACTCTTATTATTTAATATATAAGGAACTATTTTCATATTTAATAGTATACATTTGGTTCAAGAAATCAATGTGCTCATATAGTTGATGTGATTATATAGGAGTGAGTGTGACCGTATATTGAATAAAATAGGTTAAAATGTAATTTGAATTAGGGTTCTGCAAATGCCCATGCCAGACAAATTGGCACCATGCTAGGCACTAGTGCCTCATGCCATACTCATACCTATAGGTACAAAAGTGCCAGAAATTATTATGGGCATGGTTACAAATGCCGGGTATTTTTATAGGCATAAGCACAAACGCCTAAGGCACAGTACAATATGTCAGATAAAAAAGTGCCAAGATGCCAAAAAGGTGTTGGGCACAAGTGCCAGATAGTATTAGACATACAATTAATTAATAGAATACTAAATTTTTATGCTTATATTTATGCCCATAACAAGTTTTTATACCCATGCTATGCTTATATCAAATTTTTGTATTTGTGTTAATGCCTATATCAAATTTTTGTATCAGTATTTATGTTTATACCAAAGCTTTCATGCCTATAGCAAGATTTGAATTTTTGTTAAGCACAAGCATGAGCAGATCTCTAATTTGGATTTTAAACCTTTAGATCAAATTATTTTTAAAATTTGAATAGATAAGCTTTTGATTTTTAAAAAGTAAACCTTTTACTGTAATAAAAGTTGTTTTATCATTAATTATTTTAAAATTGTTAATTTTTGACTAATTAGTTTTTATAGTAATATTTATTTTTTAAAAATTTTTAATAACCAATTTTTATTTGAACATTATTATTGTAGATATGTAAATATTTAATTACTAGGCATAGAGCATCTTCTCTAAAATATTATATATAGAAAATAAAAATTCATTGAATTTTAGAGCATTATCTTATTCTAAAAAATGTATCAACTAATATATAATTGAAAAAACATTATATTAACAATATTATATTGTAAAATAATCACTCTAATTATATTATTAATAAGTGTAAAATTGAAGAAACTAAATAGTGTATTGTTTAGTTATAAATAACAATTAATTTAACAAATATTATATTAAAGGTTGTTATGTTTATATATTTTTTTATTGGTTTCTAATTCTATTTATTTTTTTTTTATTTTTCTATTGGGATATTCTATAGAATAGGTGGAAAAAATAAGAAATAAGCTGCTTAATGATTAGTAATCATTAATTTTTTAATAGTAGAGTTGCAGAGTTTGCGAAGTTTGTCTACCTATTCTATAGAACATCCTTCTATTGTAAATTTTGAGTACTAAATTTACTAATTAAATATTGTTACAAGTGGACTATAGCCTTTTTAATACAGCACAAGTAACAAAGCACACAGCAATAGAGCTCTGTTGTGAGATTATAGCGGTGTGGAAGTGGAATGTTACTTCACTAAGAGCAGTTCGTGGAAAGTATATAGTTAAAGAAAGATATATTTTATTTACGGTATATAAGA